TTCAGGTTTATGTTGTGTTTCAGGTTTATGTTGTGTATCTGTTGTGTTTCAGTTTTATGTTGTGTATCTGTTGTGTTACAGGTGTATCTGTTATGTTTCAGGTCTATGTTGTGTATCAGGTTTATTTGTTGTGTATCTGTTATGTTTCAGGTTTATGTTGTGTTTCAGGTTTATGTTGTGTATCTGTTGTGTTTCAGTTTTATGTTGTGTATCTGTTGTGTTACAGGTGTATCTGCGGCCTGCTGAAGAAGAAGCCTCGTGTGCTGGTCACCCACCAGCTGCAGTATTTGAAGGCAGCTGATCAGATTGTGGTTCTGAAGGAGGTTGGTTCTTCTCTGTAATAGTTGCCACTCTGGCCTGATCACCTTGTTAATCTTGAGTTTTTAAATAACAATAACTGGTTTGACTACTTAAAGAAGCAGAGCTGAGGGGATCTTGGTAATCCTGCTGTTCCTGTTTTTCCATCTGACACGAGATTATTTAATCCGTAAATGTTGCTGAACTGCCTTCTGTCTGAGCTGAGCTTCAAATAAGACTTGAGAACAACTAAAACTCTGTTTTTATTTATGGTGGTCAATACTTTAAACTCTGATCTAAAAAAAAAACCTTATTTAATAGCTGAAGAACCAGCAGACATTTCATCTATTTACGTTGGTTTAACCTTCTTGTGGATAAAAAGATGTCCTGATGAGAGAAAAGCTGCATCTGATCCTTCGTCTGTTCAGTAAACAGTTAACAGCCGAAGGTCTGATCTGTGTTTCAGGGTCACATGGTGGCAAAGGGAACCTACGCAGACCTACAGAGGTCCGGAGTGGACTTCACCTCTTTGCTGAAGGAAGACGACGAGCAGCAACAGCCTCAAGACGTTCCCACCAGGAACAGAACTCTGTCCCAGAATTCAACGCTGTCCCAGACCTCCTCTGTCCACTCGGTCAAAGATGGAGACCACCTGCCGGTTCGTACGCCTTCTTTTCTAAACGTCACAGCTGATTCAGTGAGTCGGCTGAGACGTTTCTTGTTGTATGTCTCTCTCTGGTGGTCGGAGCAGGAAGCTAAGCAGCAGCTGTGTCCAGGTTCTGACTCTGAAATGTCTGAAACATTTGGTTTTCGACATTGGTTAAAGCCTGTGTGTTTCTCAGACAGAGACGGTGCAGATGGTACCAGAAGAGAGCCGGGCTCAGGGAACCATTGGACCCAGACTGTACATAAAGTACCTGCGAGCTGGAGCCAGCGTGGTCACTCTGCTGGTGGTCATACTGGTTAACCTCCTGGCTCAGGTACACCAACACTTCTGTCCRGTCTTATCAGTCCTAATGATCAAATCATCACAACCAGATTTGTTTTCTTTTAGCTTTCTTACATCATGCAGGACTGGTGGCTGGCATATTGGTAAGAATATATTCAGCAAAAATATCAGATTTCTCCCTTAAATCTCAATTTTAACAATTTTGTTTGTTCAGGGCTGATAAGCAAGAAGAGCTGCTGGTGCAGAACGGCACCAGCGTGACGGGACACAACACCACAGAGCTGGATTTACGTTTCTACCTGGGTGTTTATGGAGGTAGAAACAAAGTGTCCCTCTGTTTGCTGCCTGTCTCAGTCCTCTTCATCACAGGCTCCTCCTTCTGTGTTTGTTTGTTTGTTTGTTTGTTTGTTTGTTTGTTTGTTTGTTTGTTTGTTTGTTTGTTTGTTTGTTTGTTTGTTTGTTTGTTTGTTTGTCTTCAGGCCTGACTGTAGCCACCATCCTGTTTGGCTTCATTAGGAACATCCTCCTGTTCAACGTGCTGGTGAGATGTGCACAGTCGCTTCACAACCGCATGTTCAGCTCCATTCTCAGAACCCCCATTCGTTTCTTCGACGTGAACCCCATCGGTAAGAAAACCTAKGTTGGCAACATTCTGGCTGAATCATTACTGTTTTGCTCCTTGGTCGGCTCCTTCCTCATGATAATAACTAAACTAAATGGTTCCATATTCTGACATTAGCCTCATGTCTCACTGCAGGAAGAGTTCTGAACAGGTTCTCCAAGGACATCGGTCAGCTGGACTCCAGCCTGCCCTGGACGTTCACAGACTTCATTCAGGTGAGCTCAGGAGGGGCCCTGCTTCCTCTGACTGCCTGGTGGTCAAACCCTGAAACCTGGGCCTTGTAACGTGATTTTATAGCTTTTCTGCTACTTTCCTACTCGAATTGAAACAGCATGTCAGAGAAGGTGTATGTTTCTGGTTAGAGCGATTTAAATGGACCATGTGATGTGCCAGCGGACGAATTAATTAATTGATTGGAATGGATTTTAATCCAGTAAACCATTATTTGACAATTAATTTGATTAATTGTTTGCATTCCTAATAAAAACAAAACAAAATCATCACAAAGACCTGATTGATTCAGTTCAGAACTGCAGCTAAATCATGAGCTTGATTTCACCAAAAATCCATWACTTCCTTCAAACTTGAGATAGTCAAGATTATTTTAATGTTCTTTTAGAATCCACTGTCAGATTTTATGTTGCTGTAAGATAAATATTTAATTCACCTAACCCCCTCTATAAAGACGTGATTGGAAGTCCCTAATCTGAACCTGGTGAGGTTTTGTTGTTGGGCTTGGACTGTTTGTAGGGAACACTACGGGCCTTTCCCAATCAGTGGCTACACACTCGCCCTACCCCCTACTCACTGTGCGTTCCCGCGGAGGGTTGGCCATATTAAGTCCCATCTGAAACCGGTTASATACGAGGGCGAGTGGCTTATTAAGCCCTCCACAGCAAGTCTGCAWCCAGTGCAGACTTGATCAGCAGGTGCAGCACCAAATAGTGGTCGATATGGAGGACGGGACATATAAATATAAGTTCCACATATGTTTTGTACACATATTAACTAAGTAAACACCTCACCAACAAATATAATTTCATATAAATCATGTTTAATTCAATTAAAACTTTATTAATGGCACAAAACCCTGCTCCATATTTAAAAAAAATAAGAAAAAAAAGAAAGAAAAAGTAAATAAAATATTTTAAAAAATGTTAAAAGTGCAATTATTTTGACAAGTTATCACACTGTTATAAATACAGTCATATCTGAAAACTCTCTAAAATGTGGGCCTAATTAAATATTTTCTTTGGTTTATTAAAAAAAGCTTCTTCTAAATTATCTTACTGCATTTGTTCTCCAGCATACTGTCGCTGCCAAAGCTTGGACTGTTACCATGATGATGACAGCTTCCTGTTCAGGAAGTGGGAGGAGAGCCCGTCTCAAAAGAGGAGGGTTTATAAACAGGGRTYCACATAAAATGTTTGGTCTGGTTCTCAGGGGAAAACCTAGGGGTTTTTGCTTGGTGCTCACTCATATTTTCCTTCACTCATTTAACACATTTATCTAGAGGGGTGTCAGAGCATCTAACGTCCCCCTGTTCTGTTTTATGACTCCTATCAGCTGCAACGTCTCAGGACATCATGTTAAATCAGTCCAAGTTTTTTTTACCTCTGCCAAGGAGGTAATGTTTTCGGTCGCGTATGTCTCTGTCGGTCTGTCTGTGGACACT